GATTCTGAAAAATAATTACCAAGGCGATACTTTTAGGGTCATACTTTAGTGCAGCTATGCACACATACACTTTCCCTCTCTCCTGGTGCCTAACACCACGTGGCCCATAGTAAACTGAGCTCTTATTTTCTCAGCACAACATCCCCTCATTCTGCTACAACTTGCAGTACAGGATAACCTGCACTAGGATGACTAGGACATCAAATTGTCCATAGACTCTCACACTTTATTTAAAAAAAAAAAAAAAAAAAAAAAAAGCCCAAACAGTTCTTAGAACAGAAAAGTTTGAAGATTGTGGCTGAATCTGTCCTGCCCCAGGACAGGATCTGTCTATATCTGCATCAAACCTAGTGATATTTATCTAAACTGTTCTTAAAAACTTCCCATGATGGAAACTCCAAAACATTGCCACAACCATAATTACCTGAATTCTCCTTAAAAATAAAAATTGTGGCTCAGCTGTTTCTTTGCTGTATGTAAGCACACACCTCCTTAGATTATCCACTGATTGCCAAACACCAGAAATTGCACTTCTCTATGTTTTATGAGGAAGGTCAAGAATATAACTTGCTAGCAAAAATCTGGCAATGAAACACAGTTCTAAATATATTACGGACAAATCCAGCATTGTCTCCCTTTTCCTAGCTTATGAACCTCACTCCTACTGCAAATCTCAATCCTGTTTCTGAAGTAAACAGGACAGCTCTACCACTCCCAAGCTCCATAAAGGGGGAAGTATTTGTTTTCAGAAGGCATTCAGTGGAAGAAACTGTCTTTTCCAAACAGATAGTTACAATGAAAACAACAGGAGCACCTGCAACTGCTGACCAGGGTCTTAGAGCGTTGGAACGCTCAAAACTGAAGTGTTAATAAATAAATATGTATATCCTGATTGTGACACTACACACAGTTGCTTTTGTCCTGTACTCACAAGCAATTTTGCTATTCCTTCCATGAGCGGAAGGATGGCAACTTTTCTCTGCAGAATGCACCTACTGTTAGAAGTCTGCAGCGACCTCATTAAAAGTTATTTCCACAGCCACTAGGCTGTTTGCTTTTGAGTTACTAGTGGTTTCCCATGGAGCAGCCAGAACTCAAAAATAGCTTAGCATGGGCCAAGCTCAGGCCACTGCCACCCATTTTTCTGTAGTTAACATCTATCAAAGGGTGTCCTGTTGCTCTTAATACGTTCCCTCTTTAACTTATCTCCTGTGTCTTGATTGACAGTGAAGTTAACTTGAATCAGTACTGGCTTTCTCTGACCTATACACAATGCATAGGTCAGTCCCTGGCCCCAGCCCCTCCTGGCTGATGAGCGTTTGTGATGCAGGGCTGGCTGAGCCATCCTGCCCAGAGAGACTTTGCTCACAGGAAGAGCAAGAATTTAAGTCTCAAAAAGCCTTAGCAAGCAGAACTTTCTTGTTGAGGAAAGCTTCAGCTGAGAGACCTCATTCCAAAAGTGAAACTCAACTGTCTATTATAAACTTTGTTAATAATCCATAGGTACGTATCCTGGTTTGGCTGGGACAGAACCCCAGCCCAACCGTGCTGGGCAGGCTGTTGGCAGTTTTGGGTCAGCCAGGGCAGCTGACCTGAGTGAGTTACAGGCGTAGCCCATCCCATAATGTCATGGTCACTGTAAAGGGGGAAGGTTTGCTGAGGAAGGGGAGCTCCTGTGGATTCCTGTTGGGGTTCCTCCTGCTCCTCCTCTGGCTTCTCCCTACCCCTAAGGACTGCTCTCCCATTGATTGTGGCAGCTGCATGTTCATTTGGCTGAGTATAACTGTGTGTGCCTTTGGTGGTAGCGGTGCTGCTTTGTTAAATCTGTTTTTACTTCAACCCACGGGTCTGCTCTCCTTTTCCTGATTCCCCTTCCTGGCTGGAGAGGGGTTATTGGGTGATAGAGTAACTGTTCCAGTTTAGCCCTGGATACAGGCTAAATGTAGACAGCATGCAACAAACCACTTTTTTTTTACTAAAAACTAAAACAACCCAGAAAAGCACAGGCAATGAAATACTCATTTAGCCATTGCTGAATCATCAGGAAATATGCACTGAGATGGCACTGTCCATTGTGTAGGTACAGTTGTGGTACCAGAACTAATGTGAGTGCCCAGATAAGCACCCCTGGACAGCTGTGCTGGTTTTGTTCTAACTTGTGTAGATGCTGCCTGTGTTGCTGTGGCAAAGATTCAGCATGAAGCACTGAAGAGATCATGTGTACAGTCCGTGTTACAGAATCTTCATGCACATGGCCTTCAGCTAGCTCAGGCACAGCTGTTACTGTTGCAGCCACACCTTCTGGCTCTGGGGTACGCATACGGCACAGCACCAAACGCCACGTTTAGATCATTGCCACAATGGAGTGATGATTAATCCGGGATTGAGGGAATGTACAAATCTGCCCTCCTAATTATTATATAGACACAGTTAATTACAAGGTTTTTTCCCTAATTGAAATTACTCTGCTGTCACTTCACATATAAGGATTTAGCGAGGAAGAGCAGAAACGAGAGAACCAGAGCAATCGCTTGTAGCAGTGAGCTCTGCCAGCTGTACAATGCTGCACACAGAATCTATTCCCCAATCTTTCAAACTCCCTACAAAGGATGAGACTCAGTTATTTTCATCTTGACACGTATCACACCTTCCAGCTCTTCTCAAATTTCAGGCTATGTATTTCAAACTGATTTACCACAGATTTTTGCTACTGTTCTCATTGACTGACTTTTTCTTTCCATAACTCTAGGTTATCTTAAAGTTACCTACTGTCATACCTTCTTTAAATCGGTAGAAAGCAGATGTCTTTAGAAGAATAAACCCTTGGTTTTGTATTCTCTTATTTATTGTATAAAAGTTTAGCCTTGGACCTCTGTTCATTTTGATGCCACTAAGTACAATTCAGTGAGTGTTGCCTCAATGTTCAAGTTCGGCCGCCTAACATGCAGCACTTTAAAACCATGCTCATGTATACATAATCCATACTTTTCAGGGATGCTGAGTATCTAAAATTTAGCCACTTACATAAAGTTAGGCCTCCTTATTATGTAGTGAAACTGAAAAAAAACCCCACCCCAAAATCCTCAGTGACTAGTGCTGGCAAATTACAAATAGAACTATTGTCCTACCCCTTCCCCTTTAATTACACCCTTGTCTCTGATTGTCACTAAGCTCCTGCAATAAGTAGAATCTGTAAAAATATTGGTGAAATGAGAAAATGCAATGTTACGGATTTGAAAAACTGTATTGATCTGTACGTATGCTCCTTGACGCAGCTAAGTGTATGGGAATTTTTATCCCAGTTCTCAAGCCACCAGATCAGCTTCCCTGACAAATACTTGTTATTCACTTTACACTCCAAACAATCAACACATAAATCAGCAGTGGTCCTTCCCCAAACCACCTTTTGCATATTTCATCTCTCATACAGGTAGTGAATCATCACAGAACTTTCCTAATATTGTTTGTTTATTCAGTCATGTTATAATAGCACCTAACGATACTGAATGAAGTTGGTGCCTCACAGAGCAAATGTCCCTGTCCAAAGATTTTAGGAGCTTATAATCAAAACCTCAATCTCTTTTAGTATGGTTACTGGGCAGAACAAACTAGGAAGAGCTGGCAGAAAAAAACCCACCATAGCAGACTGCATACTAAACACCACTTAGTCATCCTGAAGCGCTTACACGAAGGCATTACAGTGTGAAGGGAGCTTATCACTCCATTGCCTGCAAAGGCTCCGCAGAAGAGCAGGGGCTCCACGTCTCATTTGTTTATCTGCTGCCATCACAGGGAGAAAATGATCTCTTATCACAGCAATACCAACAACTTTGTGTGAGGTCACACACAGATACTGATGTTTAGCTGCTTAGACAACTGTTTTTCCTCAATCAGCCATTCGTCATTCTTCCAGGAAAAACAGGCAGCTGGGCCTTTCACTTTTTCCCCAAATATTATTTCAGAGTAGTTTGTGTAACACTATTGCCAGTTTAAAAGCACCTGCTGTAAAGTAGCATTTCAATTTTCAGATACGACAAAACTGAAAAAAGGAATAAAAACCAGAGAAAGTTCCTATGAGATACTAGTATAGATAAGAAAGTGATTGCTCCATGATGATTATTAAACCTACAAAATACCTAGGGAACCCTGCAGAGCAAGGGTAATTGGCTTGTGTCTGCAGAATAAACGTCACCACACTTTATA